GGGGGAGCACTGGTAAAACACAGTATTTATTTTTTTACCTCCTTTAAGAGGACTTGGAGGTAAGTTGCATTCATTCACTCAAGTTTCACTCTTGCTGTCTAATAGAAGCTTACATTTTGCTATATCAGCATTTGTTACAGCAAATATTTAAGGATAAAGTTTAGAAAATATATCATTTCCTGGCCCATCATCAAACTAATATAGCTTAACCTTGCAGCTACCAACTTTTGTGTCAAGCTGGATATCTTTATTTGATATCTAAGGTGCAAGACCAACAATATATTAAGAGATCTATAGACATGAAGGCAAAGCTCTTGTATTTTTTTTCATCCAAACACCTCAATTTATTTTATAAATTTGTTCATTTTTCCTGTTATGTTTTATATAATATATGGACTAAACAAAATAAAATAACAGTACAAAAGAGGAGACTATTTCCTCTTGTGCTTTTCTTGATGTTGTGTACAGAATTTCCTTTTATATTATTCCTCTACTCTTCACCTGTAAATGAATGTTAGTGCAGTAATTGTTTGAAATAATGCCTCATCCAGTGTTAGATCAGTAGCTCTACATGATCTATACAGTCCAGAATTCTTTCTCTTATTGTCCCAAAGGGGGACATTGTGGAGGCAGAGTTAGGGGGACCACTTCTAGTGGTTAGGGACAGATAAATAATAGGCAGTATAGCGCATGAAACAAAACACACACTTGGAAGCCAGAGACTTGTGTCCTAGTCAAAATTCTGGCATTAATTATGTGACCTTGGACAGGCCTTCTAACTACTCTGAAATTTATCAGTCAAAATAAGATGTTTCTTTTTTTTTTTTTTTTTTTTGAGACAGAGTCTCACTCTGTTGCCCAGGCTGGAGTGCAGTGGATTACAGGCATGAACCACCATGCCTGGCTGAAAAAAATATTAATATTAATTTTTTTATTTGGAGAATATGGCCACTGTAAAGTCTTTTTACTCAGTGATCAGTTATTCCACTTTGCATATAAATTTTATCTTTGTACACCGGGTGTGGTGGCTCACCTCTGTAATCCCAGCACTTTGGGAGGCCAAGGCAGGTGGATCCCTTAAGGTCAGGAGTTCGAGACCAGCCTGGCCAACATGGCGAAACCCCGTCTCTACTAAAAATACAAAAATTAGCTGGGTGTGGTGGCATTTGTCTGTAATCTTAGCTACTTGGGAGGCAGGGAGAATTGCTTGAACTTGGAGGTGGAGGCTGTAGTGAGCCGAGATCGCACCACTAAACTCCAGCCTGGTCAACAGAGTGAGACCCTGTCTCAAAAAATAAAATAAATTTCATCTTTGCCACACATTGAAATTGCCAGCTGTGTATCAGTGTATATCTAAATTAAAGTTTTATTTATTTTTAATGTTACTCAAGCAAAAAACTATGAATGGCATTTTAGATTGACAATATTTAGCTTTTTCTGAGCAACTGGATGTGATTTATACAGGAAAAAAGGGATAAACATAAGTTTTCTTTAAGGTCTTTGTTCTCAATGACTGATACTAAAATAAACTTTTTGTAGTCTTGGACAGTAAAGCACCAAAACCAGAAGACATTGATGAGGAGGATGATGATGTTCCAGGTAAGTGACATTTCCTTAGACTTAAGATTTTAAGCATCCTGTTTATCTCCTTTCAGTCACTGCATAGATGACTTTTAGGTTTGTGTTGATTGTAAGTTCATGAATTTAAATTGATTCACAATAATATGGATAGGATCCAATGTAAAACAATGCAAGCCCCCACCTTAGAATCAGAAATTGTCACACAAAGCTCTGCTGCCTGGATTTGTTAAATTGAAATCACTGTGATTGTAAATCTGCATAGCTATTGTTATAACATTTCTGTGTGAATTATAATTGACATATGAATTCACCTCAGTAGTTTGCATAGACAAAAAAAGATGAACATTTCCTTAGGATTACTGTCCTAAGCAGATAATTAAATCATTGTTAGTAAAATGCCACCAGTTCATTTCTGCCTCCTTACGTTTCCAGGCTAATTCTAGTTGTACTAATTTTATTTTTATTAGGGTTAGAAGTTAGGTGTTCCATTTACCTCTTTCTCCTTTTTTGTATTCTTTGATTCATATGCTTTGTTTCTCTTTTTCAGATCTTGTAGAAAATTTTGATGAGGCATCAAAGAATGAAGCTAACTAAAAGTTTGGTTTTTGGAAGCTGGCATGGACTAGATTTAACAAATCAGCTATGTGGTTCCAAAGTTTTACAGACACAGAGAACATCACCTGTTACTAGTTCAGTAATATAAATATTTTGTATATTAATAATGCTGTTTGTTCAGCATTTTTCGGTCATTTGATTTTGCATTTTGCACTTCCTCCCAGGATATTTTTTTGGTCAAAATATGAAGTATTGGTGCAGTTTGAGGGTGTTTTGTTTTTTTGATTCCTGGTTTTTTTGTTTTTTGTTTGGGGTATTTTTGGTGTATGTATGTTTATGTGTGTGTGTGGGTATGTGTGTATACAGTGGAGAGCAAATTGGAAAACAGTTCTATTTATCCTCCTCCCTCCCCAGTAGAAATAAAAAAAAAATCTTTACATTTGTTACTTTTCTTTTCCCCCATAAGGCACAGAATTAATGGAAATTGAGTGTCTTGGATTTCAGATCTGAAGAGATTTTTACCATTAGTGATTTGATTTTAATTTGCTTGGTTAACTATCATATTTTTCATATACTTCTCTGGGTTTAAAATGTCTTGGAGGTATTTTGCCACTGGCTTCATGCTGGAGTAATGGGTAACATATCTTTGGTATGGTTACCTTAGATTCACTTACCTAGTCAGACCCAGAAGAACTTCTCTTACTAGCTTGCTTCCTAAATGCCTTTTTCCCTCTCCTTTTGGTCTCCAAATGGCCTGGTCAGCTTTTGGTAATATTCTTCCTCATCTTCCACCTAGCTTGAGAAGGATGTTCTCCATATAGAGTTAAGCGAGTGCCTAATCCCTCCTTTTGTAAGATTTTGTTCCCTCATCTTGAGGAACAACAACTTCATCTTCAACTTTTTATTTCCCCCCAATTTTACAGTTCGGTAGATTTCAAACTGGAATAGCTAGCATGTGCTTGCTAAATAATTTTATGCCAGCCTTATCCTGTATCCTAGCTGTTCTTAATAGCAGGTACAAAAATGCCTCTTTTTCAGCAAGGTTGAAATTGGGAATGTCCTTTTGAATCAGAAGAAAATAGGCCATAGACTCATCCCCCAGCACAAATGGGCATTCTATGAAATGGTACTGGCCCTAGGAGGATTTCCTCAACCACTCTCCTACTCTTGGCCTTGAACCTACCTCTGGGTTGGATCTTACTATTGTAGCTGCTCACTATACCCTCCTGCATGCTTAGAATAATGCTTTGGGGGGAGCACTGGTAAAACACAGTATTTATTTTTTTACCTCCTTTAAGAGGACTTGGAGGTAAGTTGCATTCATTCACTCAAGTTTCACTCTTCTGTCTAACTAAAGCTTCATTTTGCTTATACAGCATTTGTTACAGCAATATTTAAGGATAAAGTTTAGAAAATATATCATTTCCTGGCCATCATCAAACTAATATAGCTTAACCTTTGCAGCTACCAACTTTTTGTCAAGCTGGATATCTTTATTTGATATCTAAGGTGCAAGACCAACATATATAAAGAGATCTATAGACATGAAGGCAAAGCTCTTGTATTTTTTTTCATCAAACACCTCAATTTATTTTATAAATTTGTTCATTTTTCCTGTTATGTTTTTATATATATGGACTAAACAAAATAAATAACAGTACAAAAAGAGAGAGACTATTTCCTCTTGTGCTTTTCTTGATGTTGTGTACAGAATTTCCTTTTATATTATTCCTTACTCTTCACTGTAACAATGATGTTAGTGCTAATTGTTTGAAAAATGCCTCATCCAGTGTTAGATCAGTAGCTCTACATGATCTATACAGTCCAGAATTCTTTCTCTTATTGTCCCAAGGGGCATTGGGCACAGAGTTAGGGGGACCACTTCTAGTGGTTAGGGACAGATAAATAATAGGCGAGTATAGCGCGAAACAAAACACACACTTGGAAGCCAGAGACTTGTGTCCTAGTCAAAATTCTGGCATTAATTATGTGACCTTGGACAGGCCTTCTAACTACTCTGAAATTATCAGTCAAAATAAGATGTTTCTTTTTTTTTTTTTTTTTGAGACAAGGATTTGCTTTTGTTGCCCAGGGCTGGAATGCAGTGTTGCAGTCTTGGGCTGACTGCACCTCTCCCTCCGATTCAAGTGATTCTCAGCCTCCAGAGTAGCTGGGATTTTTTTTTTTTTTTTTTTAAGTAAAAATGGGGTTTTACCATGGTTGCCCAGGCTGGTCTTGAACTCCTGACCTCAGGTGATCCATTTGCCTCAGCCTCCCAAAGTGCTAGGATTACAGGCGGAGCCACTGCGCCCAGCCCAAATGAGATGTTTCTAAATCTAAAGTTTCTTCTGCTTCTGCATTTCTGTGGATCTCATTTGAAATTTTTCAAGGAAGAGATTTTATCATTTGTTCAGACGATGGCTTTATTTTTATTTAATACCCATAAAACGTTTCTGGGTATTTGCTTCTTCCTCTTTCTCCTTTTGATCACATTTTAGCTGCTCATCTAGAGGATCTCTGGCCAGTATTCCTTTTTATTGTATTGATAACAATTCTTAATGGCTGGCCTCTCTTGTGTACAATGAGCCAATATTCTTTTTTGTTCTATATTTTTGTATCTTCCCCTTTCCTGAATAAAGCATGTTTAGAGTCTCAAAGAAATCCTCTCCACAAAGACATGTTCCCCCCTCCAGTGTGGATAGACACAGGGTAAGAGTTTGGATGAAACTTTTGTAAATAGTAGTGTTCTTGGCATAAATATGAATTAAATAGTTTTTTTATATTTAAAGAACTAGTTAAATATGTGCTTCTTACTAAGGTTAGGTATTTTTTGCCAAGATAACAACGATAAAAGCATTTTGTGGGAGAAATTGACCTTAAAATTTTGGGATAATTCAAGAAATGTCTGCAGAAAATTGATTTATAATCTTAATTTTTGTATTAGTCCTTTGAGGTTTTTTTGTTTGTTTGTTTTTTGTAAAGCTCCTCATCTGTTTTGGACAAGTCCAAAGTAAATGGTTGGGCTCTTATATCTGTTTTACCCTTATTTTTCCTATTAAGTAATGGTTTAAGAATATATCAAGCACCGTAATTTGTTGTTAAGTAGCTAGTGCTTACAGGATTCCATTAAATTCACTTTAATAAGTCTATGAAGTTCTTATGAAAAACTTGTATCAGGGATGTGTTTGATTTGTTTCTTTGTTTAATTCAGTGTTTAACCCTAGGTATGCTATATACCCATAAATAAGATACCGTTGTAAGAGATAGTATGGTTTGGTGGGAAAAGCACAAGTTTTTAGATAGAGATCAATTCTGCTATCTACCATTATGTTGTAACCTTTCTGACAGGGCTGCTGTCGTGCATGACTTTGGGAGCCATTGTTTATTTTTGTGGTGTTCCAGAAGGTATCATTTTCATAAACCACAGTGTGAATAGTGCCCCCTGTTAATAATGCAATGATGGCCTTGCTCTCTGAGCCTCAGTTTTATCTATAAAATGGTACCTAGAAGAGTCAAATGATTTCTTAGAATCCCCTAAATTATTAAGGTGAAGGTGAAAGATGATTAAAGCGTGTTACCTCCTAAGCTATGGCTTAGGAGATTTTCCGAAGCTCACAGTTCTAGGCACAGAAAGTCTCCATTCTGCAATGCATTTCAACCTGTATTGAACAACACTCCAGTTCAGCCTGTATTGCTATGCTACATAGAGTTTGCCTGGATTATTATAGCTTTCTTAATAATTTTGTTTATGATCCACTCTCTCCAGCCCACTACACAGCAGCCAGCTACCTAAATTTCATATCTGAGTACATCCTTATATTTACTTACAACATACTATTTGTTTGCCATAGTAGAGTATTAAGATTATTTGATTTTCTTTTTGCTTTCTCATAGTGCCCAATGTGTAGTCTACTCAACATCATAATATGTAACGTGTTTGAACTACTGACTATTGAATACAAACTTATTTAATTCTCATTCCAGTGGGGCAGATATTATAATCCCTATCTTTTTTTTTTTTGAGACGGGGTCTCTATCACCCAGGCTGGAGTGCAGTGGCACAGTCTTGGCTCACTGCAACCTCTTCAAACAATTCTAGCTGGGATTACAGGTGCCTACCACCATGCCTGGCTAATTTTTGTATTTTTAGTTGACATGGGGTTTCACCATGTTGGCCATGCTTGAACTCCTGACCTCAAAATGATCTGCTCACCTCAGCCTCCCAAAGTGCTGGGATTACAGGCATGAGCCACCGTGCCCGGTCTATAATCCCTGTCTTAAAGAAGAACGAAAAAAAAAGGTTTAGGGAAATTGGCAAAAGGCCAAAGAACTAATTGGTGGGGAACCAGGATTCTAATCAAAAGCTATCAAATCCCAGGGTCTAAACTTCTCACTCCATCCCACTCAACAAATACTTATTGAAGTGAAAATTATGTTTACATAGCCTCTCCAGTTAGACATTCTCACCAATTAATATCACTCAATATTAGCCTGAAAGTCAAAATTGTCATAAGGATTGTTCAGGGTCTAAGGATTTTCTTTTTTAAATAAGTAGGGTTAGCCGGGCGCGGTGGCTCAAGCCTGTAATCCCAGCACTTTGGGAGGCCAAGACGGGCGGATCACGAGGTCAGGAGATCGAGACCATCCTGGCTAACACGGTGAAACCCCGTCTCTACTAAAAAATACAAAAAACCAGCCGGGCGAGGTGGCGGGCTCCTGTAGTCCCAGCTACTCGGGAGGCTGAGGCAAGAGAATGGCGTAAACCCGGGAGGTGGAGCTTGCAGTGAGCTGAGATCCGGCCACTGCACTCCAGCCTGGGCAAGAGAGTGAGACTCTGCCTCAAAAAATAAATAAATAAATAAATAAATAAATAAATAAGTAGGGTTTGTAATTTTTGCATGTATTCAGGAGTTGACTTTTATAAAGTTAATAATTGAATATTTTTCATACTTCAGGATGTTTCATAGCAGCATTTGGGCAAAAATTCTTGGGTTATGTATGTTGACCTTGACACTGGTGTTTCTTAAAATTTTGCTACCTTTTAGGCATACCTTGTTAAAGAAGAACTATAAACCTGAACAAGGTAGTGAATTTATCTTGCAGCCATACTTTTTCTGTGTTTAAAATCAAACTATTCAACACAAACTATTAGAACTAATAAAGGAGGCTGGGTGTGGTGCCTCACACCTGTAATCCCAGCACTTTGGGAGGCTGAGGTGGGCAGATCACTTAAGGAGGTCAGGAGTTTGAGGCCAACATGGGGAAACCTCATTTCTACCAAAAATACAAAAAAATTAGCCAGATGTGGTGGCACACACCTGTAGTCCCAGCTACTTGGGAGGCTGAGGCATGAGAATCACTTGAACCTGGGGTGCAGAGGTTGCAGTGAGCTGAGATCACACCACTGCACTCTAGCCTGGATGACAGAATGAGGCTCTGTCTCCAAAAAAAAACCAAAAAAACACAAAAAAACTAATAGTCGCGGTGGCTCACGCCTGTAATTCCAGCACTCTGGGAGGCCAAGGTGGGTGGATCACCTGAGGTCAAGAGTTCGAGACCACCCCGGTCAACATGGTGAGACCCCATCTCTACTAAAAATACAAAAATTAGCCAGGCGTGATGGCGCCTGTAATCCCAGCTACACACGAGGCTGAGGCAGGAGAATTGCTTGAACCCAGGAGACGGAGGTTGTAGTGAGTCCAGATCGCACCATTGTACTCCAGCCTGGGCAACGAGAGCAAAACTCTATCTCACAAAGGAAAAAAAAAAAAGGCCGGGCTTGGCTAATTTTTTTGTATTTTTGTAGAGATATCACCATGTTGGCCAGGCTGGTCTCAAACTCCTGACCTCGTGATCTGCCTGCCCCGGCCTCCCAAAGTGCTAGGATTACAGGTGTGAGCCACCACGCCAGGCCTCAATTGCATTTCTGT